AAAATAATAACAAATTAGAAGGAAAAAAAGATTTAAAGAAATACAGATTTCAGTATTTTGAGGTTGATTCATTTATTTTCCTCACAGACGACAAAAGAAGTCCGACATTAGACGATTTAAAATAAAAACAATAATCGCGGCTTGATATTGAATAAGAAGATGTTTTTATGAACCCCACAGCTTCCGGTCTTCCAAGACCCGACCGGACAAAAAGACGTGTTGCAGGCACGAAACACATTACCAATAGAAATCCATTGCTTTTAAAATCGTTCTGTGTGACATGAAAAAAAGGGGAAAATCGTGTTGGTGAACACGAATCAATAGATTAAATGTTGTGACTATTACACGAAATGCTGTGAGACAGGGTTGAAACGTCTGCCTGCTCTCCACAATGATCAATGACAGCGAGCGGATGGTCAAAGTAAGGTAAATAAACAGAATCACACTAAGTCTGGTTTGTGTTGCCTGACTCTATAATTTTTTTTATAAGTGTGTGGTTACGTTCTAGTCACTTTGCTCAGCGCTACTGCTTGTTACTACTTTTATTTGCCATACTAGCCTTTAACTGTTAGCTCAGGTTAATCTCACCCCGCCGTAAACGTGACATATGCTGTTCTTGCTTCTAGCCCAAAAACGTTTTGGTGCTTGGTAAGAAGCAAGAGCAAGCTCCGCTGCGGTGTGAACAGGAAAAAACAATGCATATCAGGCTCTAGCTCCGAACCGGCCCTGGAACCAGTTGGTGTCAAAGGGGCATGAGAGATTCAAGGCACTCCTTACTATACTTACAGAGGTGGAGAAGTACTCAGATCTTGTACTTGAGTAAAAGCAGAAGGTGTAGAAGTACTCAGATCTTGTACTATATATACACACAGTATATATATATATATATAAATAAAAAACAACGCTGTTTTCTCCTGGGTTCCCTTGAGCCCGGCCTGTCTTTATGTCCATGGAGAATTTGTTTAAACAGTTCCGTCCTGTCTTTATTCATTAAAGAGCTTACGAAATGCTTTTAGCACCTGTTAGTGGGCTTAGTATATGATAGAGGTTGCATTTGTATTGTGAAATGTGCCATATGATTTTTTTATTATAGATCTATTTTTAATAAATCACGATTATAACAGCATACAAAGTTGTCAGTTAGTAACAATCGTTCGTTGCGCTGGAAACATCAACTTCGGCCATTTCCGGCGGTCACGTCATGAGTAGAACACAGCTGGTCTCAATCCCGTTTGAATGCATTGAAGGGCCAAATATTATGACAAAGGATCAGTGGCGTTTCTAGGTGTACAAAACTGGGGGGGCAGAAAGAGGTCGGGGGAGAGAGAGAGAGAGAGGGGGGGACAGAGAGAGGGGGGGGAGGAGAGAGAGAGGGGGAGTGTCAAATTACATACTGAAGACCACAAGAGCAACACTGAGCGCATACATTTACGTACACAGCGTGGGGATGTCATAGTAATGCACCTTCATACATGGAGTAAAGGTCACCATCACAAAGCAATTCTTAACAATAACAACAACCGTAATGCTTTAGCATTAAAACACCATAGACTGTAAATATAAGGAAAACACAGACACTCATCATCGAGGTCACAATATCAATCGATCCAGCAGAGGCAAAACACAGAAGATCAACAAAATATATGACATAAATGAACTTACCAAAGCTGAAGGCTCACTTGAAAAGAAAAGCGGCACGGCGGTCCTTCCTCTGACAGAATGTGTCTATCACTTTGGGGATGAAGTCCTGTAGTTGCTGGATCAACTGGCTTTCAATTGAAAGCATGGCCAATGCGTTAAGTCGCGGCTGTCCCATGGTGTTGCGAGTGAAAGTCTTTATCCTTTTGAGGGTGGAAAAGTTCCTCTCTGACTCGGATGTCGTCATCGGAGTTGTCACTATTATTTTGACCAAAATAACAGTCTCAGCAAACGTTTCCTCCAAGTTGTTCTCGTGAATGGATTTCAACAGAGACAGGGCAGTGTTTCCAGTGTGAAGCTCACTGTGGCGGTAGAGCGTGGTCAGCTCAGACTTCAACTTCTCCTTGTTTCCCAACGCAGGCCAGTTTCACGGCGCAGTCAAGCTCAGGTGTAGGAAATGACAGGACATGCTGTGGGAAGAATGAGCTGTCAACAAGCTTTGCAGCGATCAAATGGTCACTGTGAGAACCTCTGTTCCACCTGTGAGATGACTGTCACAAGCCTCCTTCATCACCGGCGCTGTGCTGCTGACTCGTCGGCCTGGCTCGTCTGTTCCATCATGAGCAGTGGCGGCCAATGCATCAGTTTTCTGCCTCATTTTCTGAACATTTTCCTTGAAACGGCAGAGCGCGCTGTTGATCCCAGGTGCATCGATGCTTCGTTTTTGCAGAGTGTTGTATAGAACATCCACTTCTGGCATAAGCAACGAAAAAAACTCCAGGAGCTGCATAAATGCTCGGTCCCGCAGTTTCTTTGACAGGCCGTATGCCTCACTTATGGTGACCGCATCCCATCCTGGTTGTGCGCGTATATGCTCCATACACTGAAGTAGTGCTTCTCGGGTCTCCCAAACCGCGTTCACAGTTCTGCTTTTAAAGTTCCATCTCACAGCCGGTGGCCGTGGGATGCGTCTCTGTGTTGCCTCTGCAAGAGCTGCAACACGTTTTGGAGCACCGGAGAAAAAAGTGGAAAAAGCAGTTAGATCTGCAAAAAACACCTTCAGGATGCTCATCCTTGCTGAACACAGTTGCTGCAGGGTCAGGTTCAGTTGGTGGGCGTAGCAGTGAACTAACTGAGCGTTTGGGTCCGTCTCCTTCATCACCGTCTGTACCCCGCGCACGTTACCGCTCATGACGGCCGCCCCGTCATAGGTCTGAGCGATTAGCTTTTCTTTCAGCTTCAGGGGTTCCAGAACAGCCTTGATGCTGTTAGAGAGACCTACACCAGTTTTGTCCTTTACTTCCACAAACTCCAAAAAACGCTCTGTAACTGTGAGGTCAGGCATAATGTATCGCAGCACAATCACCATTTGCGATTTACAGGAGACATCGGTTGTCTCGTCGGCCTGAACGGCAACAAATGATGTGTTGTCCACTTGCTTGGCTATTTCCTCCCTGTACACATCATACATGCAGTCCAAGAGTTCATTCTGTATGGTGCTTGATGTCCCTTTGAAAACAAGCTGAGCTTCGTAGTGCCGTTGAAGCCTGGAATCGCCCTCACACATTGTCTCGAAAATTGACCTGAATATCCCTGGATTCAGAGAGTCCGCCGACTCGTTGTGGCCCCGCAGTGCTGTCTCACATTTCCCACACAGTTGAATACAGGTGATGATCCGACCAAGCACGTACCTGTTTTCTTCCACCTTCCTATTATGAGAATCAATGCCGCGTCTGTAGGCGCTGTCAATCTGAGCTGCAACATTCACCCTTCCAAGTAATCCCAATTTTACGGCATTTTCCAAATGACTGTTGCTGCTCTCATGCTTCATTGTCCTCTCCGAAAGATGCTTTAAGTCCTTGTAACCTGTCCTCGACCAAGTACCTTGATCTTCACCAAAAAGCAGGCAAGGAAAGCAAAAGAGGGAATTCTTCTGGATGCTCGCCGTTAGCCATTTCTTTTTAGCAAACCACTCAGCGTTAAACCCACGTTTAACTTTGCCCGCAGTCTGGACCATTTGGAAATCCGGTGGATGGTGGGCACCGAGACGCTTTACCTCCAGTTTCTCTCCGAGACTAAGTGTCTCAAATGTGTGCTCCAGTAAATGGTCAACTTCATTCATTTTCTTTCAGTTGTTTACTTCTTTTAATCGCTGGTGATGTTAGCTATATGCTGCTCTCTCGTCTCCTCTTCAAACTACACGTGACGTTTCGCAGCACTGCACACGTGAGTACTTACAGCCAATCAATTCTGAATTATGTGAGATGACGTATGGTGGGGATGGGAGCACTATGCCCCTACGGTCATTATTTTTTTGCCACACACATTAAATAGAAAAATACTCTGAGCATGCGCAGTGTAGTTTTTACAATCACCGTTCACTTAGACTGTGAGAGGGAGGGGCAGGATCGGGTTTTGTCCCACATGGCTCTAAACAGCTCAAAACGGCACTCTAGACACTAATTAGAAGAACACAGACTAAAACAGAAATGTACAGACGAATCAGATTATTAAACATGACCTTAAAATATATTTTATATGTTTTTTTATTTATTTTTTAGTATTTTTTTGTAATCATTATTTGTAATACTTTCTTCTGACACTAGGTAGGGCTGTGCCCCACCTGCCCCTAATGACCCGCCGCCACTGCAAAGGATGCACAGCAATAAGACGCCAAGAATAATTGGCAAGCGATATGTTGTATGGGGCCGTCTCAACATCTGGTTATGGGATGTTTTTGTGGCCAAAAAATTATCAAATGTTGCGTATATGGACAAAACAAGTGCGTCGTATGAGGCGGACTTTTGCTAGACCAGGTAACCCGGGGTCGATGAAACCATCGAGAGATCGTGTTTCGAACAATCAACAATGCCCGCTAAGGAGAGAGTAAAAACTTTCTCGAAGGTTCGTTTTGCTTTCTTACAACGTTACGTTAACTTAACCTTACAGTGTTGTAGGCTACAGTGCGTAGATGCGGCGGACAGACAGACGTGTCTCAGTTGGTTTGGTGTCCTCTGCTTACTTTTAATAGCCTACTTGTAAATACAACTTTTGGCCCGTAATTTCAATTCCCCATTTCAGCGACCAGAGAGAGGGGGGGGGGGGATATATCCAGTCTCCGTTATTATGAGAGTGCTCTCATACTTTAAATTGTATATATTTATATAAATATATTTGTGTGTGTGTCCGCATTTGTAGCCTGTTATTGTCTCATTATACAGCACTGTTAATGAATCAAAGTAAATATGTGGGGGAACAATGTTCAGCTGATCTAACAGAGATTATAAAATACAGTGCTATGACAAAACACTCGACAGCTGATGCAGCTGTTGCCATGTAATAATGGACGTCGCTTTAATATGACCGCTCAGAGGAGAGGAGTTCTCATTTCTTTAAATGTCTGCTGCTTCCCCTCCTCTCTCATCGGTCCCCCTCCTCGGTCCTCCGCTCGCATCTCCTGTGGGCGGGACTAAGTCTCGAGGAGGGGAAATTTAAGAATTGAGAAGCCTCTTAGGTTACTTCCCTTAAGAGCTAGCTGTCTTAGCTAACAACAGTTAGCAGCTAACGTTTTCTGCAGTTTGTGTTTCCACTGAAAAACGTGATGTAGTTATTTAAGGGTAAGTTAACTAAACGTTATCTTACAAGTAGAGAGAGTTAAGTTCTGTTTAAAATCGTCAATGTAATGCACGTTAAAGGTTTTGTGTTGAGCATGAAGTTAGCTTTACTGTAGCTCACCAAAGGTTAGCATGTTAAGCTGCACTTTATGTGGCAGCTCGCTTAATACAAAGAGAGGTTTTGTGCTTCATTGTAAACTTTTCTTACAAATGTGTGTTAATCTACCTGAAATTGTAGGGACAGTTTTTTTCTACTCAACTATACAGACCATTATTGAGGAGATGCAAAACATACTGTAAATCCGACATATACTTTGAGTAATGTTAGTTTGCTGCTAAAAAAAATGGAACATTATCAGATGAGGACATCACCAAAGTGTGTGAGTCTGTCAGGGGATTTGATCTGTTCTCTGCATGTCGTACATGATGAATTAAAAATATAATTGCAAAATGTAAGTCTCTTGCTCTTGTCATCGTTCAGGCTTTGCATTTGAACTCCTATGACTGGTTACACTCTTGAAGGGAACGACTTCCTGGCCTTCCTGACATCCAGGAAAAAGGTGAGATTCTAATCCATTTCAATGCCAACAGCAAGTCATTGTTTTTCAATATGATTTTTTTGGGGAATTTCTGTTGTATTGGATAGTAGAAATCTACTGGAACCTAACACCAGAGAGAGAGGGAGGAGATGATATGCAGCAAAAGGCTCCATGTGGAACGTGTTCTATCAGGTAAAGCACTTTGGTACCCAGTTATTTATGGTATTGAGTTTGAATTTAGCCTTTGGAAGGTAATTTCCAACAGTGCATTGTAATGACTGAAAAAAACATTTCTTTGTCTCTTAACATTCCTGAAATAATTTGTTTTTTTATTTTTTGATATCAATCAAAGTTTATTTATATAGCCCAATATCACAAATGTTACATTTGTCTCAGTGGTCTTCACAGTGTGTACAGAATATCAGTATGACAATACGACACCAATATTGTTTTGTTCTTTATTTTTGTTGTGAGAATCACTTTGCAATTGTGTAAGTGCTATATAAATAGTTATACTAATATTATTGTTGTTACCATCATTACAAATGTTTTCTTTGTTTTCTTTATTTATCGCTGCAGAAAGGATCATGCCAGCCCACATCAAACACCTGATCAAGAACTTGTGAATCTTCAGGCAGAAAAGATGAAAACACCTTTTCAAAGTTCCAGTTTCCTGTACATGGAACCATGCCTGTCCTCTGTTCCACATGTCTTCAGTCAGTCCTGGTGCCTGTACTACGAAACAGGATTTTCGCTTAGCTGGCTAACTTCAGGGAAAACTCTGGGTTTCCGGTCCTACGAAGCTGGTTCTCTTTTTAGCAGGCTAGCTCTCCATGGTAACTTATGCTGAGCGGCTAACCTGTTCGGGAGCAGGTTAGGTTGCAGGCTAAGAGATCGATTCAGTGAAAGCTCCGCCTGCTGACCAATCAGAGCTCAGTGTGCGGAGTTTAAAGCGATCAAGTCATATTACAGGAGAAAGGAAATACAGTTTAAATTGTGTGAACGTGAAAACTAATAGAATATCACCTCCCATCTTCAGAGCGATCTGACTATTATAACATTAACGTTAAGAAAGCTTACTTAAATATCTGCCACAACATAAGTAATTGGATCAGAGTAACATTAAGTACAGTCCGCGGCATATCACTTCATAATGTATCATATATGTCCTTATCTGAGTCAGCTGAGCCGTATCTGGCCGTGCAACACTCAGTGTCACATACTGGATGCAGAAGTATTATTTTAAGCAACACATTAAGTTGACGAAACACTCGAGTCAAATGTAATTAAAGTCAGATCGTGTCTTAGACGGGGCAGTGATATCATAAACCTGTTAATGTACGCATTCAAACACTTGTTCTGTTACCAGCTGTATTCACCTTGCAGGTGCAGCTCTGTGGCTTTGATCCTGGATAAAGTGTTTAAGTCATGGATGTTTAAAGTTTAACTTCTTCATATGTCTAATATTATAGTTGACTTTTCATTCAGGAAGTATGACGCTGCGCTGTCAGTACGCTTCTCCATGTTTGCGATTGGTCGAATGCTCCAAATACCACCCCTTTCATGTGAACGCGCACCTAACTAGATAGGACACGGCTGGCTTGAGCGATCCACTTGATAACCCGCGTCGTAGTACCGTTTAGCGAGAGCGAGTATGTTTTGGATTAGGCCAACCGGCTAACTCAAACATATCCAGGTTAGGTTGAACCAGCTTCGTAGTACATGCCTCTGGACCCTATGACTTGGACACTAGTTCTACCAAGGCTTATTAGAGGTAAGAGTGGTAGGAGAGGAGTGGAGTTATCTTTGTATTTAGGCTGCAAGTCGGCAAAGGTGATCAGATGCTAATAATGATCCGATTAATTTGATATTGATTGTCTGCCAATACCGAATCCTGATCCGATTATTCTATTTCCCAGATAATACAGCTGCACCGTGTACACTAGCTCTATTTGTTTTTGCCATTGTAATTCACCATAAGCAATTGTTGACTGTAACGTCTATGCCAACCAACTGTAATTTGTAATGTATTATACTTTAGCGGTTCTGGCAACCACAGCAGCCCAAATGTTAACGTGAATGTCAAGTTTTCTTTTTACAGTGTACTTATATCTGTACATTTATTTTCAGTTTGCGTGAAGAAGTGGCTTCAACAGACAGAAGTGCTGGCCAGATTGGGAAAGGCTGGTCGCTACACAACGGGAAACATTATGGACATGAACAAGAAAAAACCAAAAACACTTTCTTTGTTGCCTTTTTGTTATCATACATAGTGTTACGGTTTTTGTTACCATTTAAATATTGAATTCTATGTATTACTTTTATTTTTAAATCAAATGCACCGGTTTAAGATAATATATTTATTTTGATGTGCAGGTTGATTTGCAGGTCGGTTGTTATTTGTATAGTTACTGTGTATTTTATTATATTAACTAGCTATTTATTAAATAAAAAATACTGTTATGAACACTATACAATGTCTTTATTTTGGTAGATACCAGAATACATGACACAATGAATCTTTGTAATATATTTATGTTCTCTTGTTTAAATAATCATACCAGTATTTAATGTGTGCTGGTCACCCGGAATCCTGGTAAGCTCCCAGCAGGGTATATTTAATACTATTATTAAACATAAGCTGGTGATAGATGGATAAACCAGCCATCCTGGCCAGCTAAAGTGTCCAAAACCCCTCTCCAGCCAACCATTCCAGCCTAATATCTACTGGCTGGTCAATTTACAACAGCCTGACCAGCTACATTTATCTAAGCTGGTTTTTTCAGTCATTATTATTTATTGAGAATCTCTATGAATTATAGTCAAATGTATATACCAGTCTCTGTTCTGTTGCCTGAGCCAAGTTTGCCTGCTCCATTACGATATATTATTATTTGTTTACTATTTATTGAGAATCTCTATGAATTCAAGTCAAATGTATACCAGTCTGTGTTCTGTTGCCGCATCGGATCTCCGCCCAATCCAGGATCATCACCCCCCTAGTTCGCTCCCGTCTGTATATCTACCGCTACTTGAATACTGTGGCTCAAACTGGTATGGTTCCACCACGTTAGATTCGCCCGCATGATCTGATTCCACCACACCGGCATCCTCTTCAATAAAATCCTCCTCTTCTTGAAAGTGCACCGAGTCTATTGACGACTCACTGTCACTCGATTCTATCTCCAGAGTCCGACATCAGCCATATAGGTAGTGTATTATTCAACAAGTGTTCTACTCGGGACGTGCGTGACGTCACTAACCGGCGAAAGCTGTTTTGTTCGGAGCGGTCGTGTAACATCGGAAAGTTGGCATGGAAAGTTGTAATAAACCACGATTTATAAATACAGCGGGCATTTTGTCATGATTTCCCATTAATAATAGTATATATATTATCGTAATAAGAACAGTATTGTCCTTCATTTCGTAAGCTCTTTAAAACAAGGGAATGACATGTTTATAATGTGCTGAAAAACAGAAAAAGATGCACATCCCTGCATATTTTTATTTTGATAGTCTGAAAATTTTAACAAAAGAGAACAGAATCAAGCTGAAATCATAAATATCTATAGATACATTAATAATTGGTTCTTCTTGCAATAGGCACGTTCACACCGGAGTACTTTTCCCCGTACTTTTCGCGTTTGGTTCCGTTAGTACCCCTTATGTCGCGTTCACACCAAAAAGAGTACTTAGTGCCGGGAACTTTTACCCCCATTGTTAGTGCCTGCTAAAGAGGTGGTACGAAAAAATTACCAATTTCTATTGGCTGGGCGAATTGCAAACCACGGCCCGTAAAACTCTGAAATGTTTTTTGAAGCCGCCATTGTATTTGCTGGCATTAGCATTAGCCCCGCACACCAACGGAGAGAGAATAACTTATGGCAACACAAAAAAAAACATGGGAGCAGTGGAGTGATGAGGTGTCGGAGTTCTGGCGATTTACTCGGAAGGCTTCAGTAGAAGCCAGTCCCCAACTCTGGGGACTTCCGCCGGGGCCTTCGGGTGGCAGTATACGCCGTGAAGTTGTTTGCGGCCTGCCAGTAAACCCAAAGCAGAAGAAGACGAAGTGACGTCAGCGGCTCATTTCCGTAATCTTCCCTCAGGGAAAAGTACTCCGGTGTGAACGCGATGGGTACTAAGTGCCGGCACCAAGTACGGCAAAGTACTTATATTTTATAAAAAGGAAAAAAAAAAGGCTATTAGAAAGTTAGTTGAAAAACAGCATAGTGAAACAATTCTTCATAGATCAGGAACCGTTACAAACATGACTTAAATTGGAAGAAACAGCATCTCTGTGGCCTTTTGTTGGCATAGTGTGAACATAAAAAACTGTTCGTTAGACTTCAATTAAGAAGAGACTCTTAACCTGTTAAACCCGAGAGGACCCTAATCCGGGTCTGGCGGGTAGTTTTTGTGTCTCAGGGTTTCTCAATATTTAAAAACCTATTAATGTGTCAAACCAGATTAACGGGAAGAAACTCCGCTAATTGACGATACAAACCATTTTTACCAAAACAAAAACACAAGTCTCATAAGAAGCGTCTAACTGACCCCTGAGCGAAAAAATGTTAACGCACTTGGCACAGAACTCAAGGTAAAGATACCCTTATTACTTATCGTAACTGCACATACAAGCTATCCGATTAAAGCTGAGATTACACAGATTAAAAAGGTATTAGTATCATCACTGAGCGATCAGAACTCGCGACAGGGGAAGCAAACACAGACATCACAACACGTAGCATTACGGAGCAAACACGGGAGATCGTCTCACTTTAGCTGTTATTCTGATCAAAATTCGTGTTCAATGGCATTACAACAATAAAAACGCAGCTGAAGGTTAATCCAATGTGTCTGTTACTTTGAAAAAATTATTTATAATCCATAATTCAATTTGTATTTAAAAATCGGTGAATTAATATTAGCTGCTAATGGTAGCCACCAGAGTGTATCGCAGATTCCGGTTCCGGGGCATTCTGGCTGTGCAGCACTCATTCACCAATGGGTAATGTTTAGATGGATTTTAGGAACTTCCCCTCGATTCTATTGGCTCCAACAGTTAAAAAGAGATGTCAATCATCCAAATCGACCAAGGGGGGCCAGACATATGTAAAATCCACCCAAATGACCCCAGAAGTGTTTTTTTTCTTCTAAATCTCCCTAAAAAATATCAAATTTCACTTGTTTTGCATCAATCTTGATACAGGGTACTTATATGTTATAGTAGATTCCTAAAGCTTTTAGTCTACTATCCCATCATTCAAGGGTGGTTTTCACTATAAGTAAAAGAAAAAGTGGGACGGACACAATAATTAAAAATGTTTTACTATGGTCAATCTGAATTTACATTAAAATAAAATAAAAATCTATATTAATTCTGTCTTTTTTTACATCTAACTCACAGGTTTATCATTGCTTTGAGAAAAAAAATTATCATCATCATTTGTTCTGGGAATGTCATTTTCGAGTCTGAGACCTGAAAAACAGGCTCAGGGCTTAACAGGTTAAAATATAACAATACAGCTCTCAGGACATCAGGAGGAGGAAACAACTAGCTTGGCTCTCATAGTTGTTCAAAACTATGCGGTGTGGATTCGCTCGTGGACTTTAACGTATCGTCCACACGATTTTGTCGCATTGAAGCTTGCCGGTGTTTTTTTTTATCCCCAAATGTCCACCACTAACATGCGCAGTTTGCAATATCACATCACGAAAGCTACTCGGCACCACCACCTGAAACATTGCCTCCCCCACAGCATCACCAACACAGGGCACCCACTTACGCACCAGCAAGTCCCCCTGAACATAGTAACCCTGGGCTATGTCTCTGACCTTCTCTGCCGGCAACAACTCAGTCCACAGAGCAGAAAGAGATGAATCGTCCTTCTGACTCCTGACCCAGTCCTC